AGAGAGAGAGAGAGAGAGAGAGAGAGAGAGAGAGAGAGAGAGAGATGCATTTTCTATCCCATTACCTGTTGGCCACCTGAGCATTGAGAAAAAGCATTTACATGGCACTGCTCACATCAGTTGCAGGTTTCTTTAAGCTTGTGACTGTGTGAGAAATAATGTATGGAAAAAAAAAAAGAAGGGGGATGAACAGCCTCAACTCTAGGAATGATCTCTTGCAGAAATGCAAATGATCTCTTCATACAGTTTGTGAAAATGCACCCAAGACATTAAGACCAGAAGGCAATTAGTGACCTTTCATTTAGATGTCATGACCTGAATTCCCTTATGTCTGTGTATCTGTCAGTTCTTAGTGCCTAGTAACCTGTAGAAGTCAGTGTTCTATCTGGTAAATTACAAGTTAATGTTTTTAAAAACCCTCAGAGTGAATATTTTTTTTTACTTTGAATTGGAACTGTAGGGATCATTTGTTCAATTTCTCGATCACACCAACAAAAGCATCTCCATCACTATCTGGAGAAATCATATATTAAGCAAAAGATTCTTTTAAAAATGTGGTTTCAATAGATCCCACAGTTGTCGTAGTAAAGGAGTTTAAACTTGAACTAAACAAAGACCTTTATTCTTTCAAGTTATTTCTAAACGATAAGAAAGTAAAATGTTGCTTTAAGTATCTGTCTACTTTACTGTGCTGTTGATGATAAACGTAGTTCAGATCATGGCTTTGACCTTGGCTGTGACCTCGGCTGACTTCTGGGATTAACTATAAACTGTTTTATCAGCAATCAAGAGTCCTGTACAACAGTGCGTTGCTTCAACATTTTATGAAATGAGTTGCGACTCCTTGATGTTAGTGACAACAGAAGCATGCGAATGGACAGGATGGACAGACACGGAGACCATACCTAGCATAAGTATTTCCTACTGAAGCCTGCATCATTCACTTAGATACTTAGTACAACATCATATACAAAAGCATACTTTAGATGTCCTGTATTAGAGTGAGGTTAAGGTTGTCAATTTGACTGGTTCAGAACATAAGAACACAAAATCAGTTGTTGCTCTGCTTTTCTCTGACCTTACAACCTTACACACACATACACACACAGCACACACAGGCACTTTGCATTTAATGTTTTTCTTTCTTTCTTTCTTTCTTTCTTTCTTTCTTTCTTTCTTTCTTTCTTTCTTTCTTTCTTTCTTGTTTGGTTTTTGGTTTTTGGTTTTTTCGAGACAGGGTTTCTCTGTGTAGCCCTGGCTGTCCTGGAACTCACTCTGTAGACCAGGCTGGCCTCGAGCTCAGAAATCCACCTACCTCTGCCTCCCAAGTGCTGGGATTAAAGGCGTGCGCCACCACTGCCTGGCCATGTTTTATTTTCTTAATAGTAAAGTCAAATGAACACCCTCCCTGCCTTCCAGTTGTCTCCTCAGTCTACTTCCAAGGACAACATACAAAATCTACCTTCATTTCCTCGGCTTTCCCAGTATGCCCTGGTTACAGAGCAGTCTCAGCTTTCCAAGTATGCCCTTGTCACAGAGCAGACCTCTGTACATTCAGAGTCCTTCAAGGCCTTGGCTTCCACTCTTTATGAAGTATTTAGAATTCAAAACCATATCTTCCTCATAGAAATCCCTTTTAACAATATGTCACCATCTTATCCTTATTTTGGATGAGATTCATACAAGAATTTTCTTAGCATGCCATACTTCATGAGGAAGGATGATAATATCAGTTGACTCTAGAGTCAGTTTCATATCCCAGCTTTGATCCACTGATGGACTCTGCACATATATAATTTCAAAAATTGCTTAGAGGCATGTAAAATTCCAGGTCCTAGTCATAAAGCAGATGCAAGATAATCACCTTGTTGGAACTGTAAATTTAATTCAAAATATGATTGTGAAAAATATTGTCCTAGTCATTGCTCTATTGCTGTGAAGAGATACTGTGAGCAAGGTAACTCTTATAAAAGCAAGCATTTAATTGTGGGGTTGCTTACAGTTTCAGAGGTTTTAGTCCATCATCATCATGGTGGGCAGTGTGGCAGCAGGAAGGAATGGAAGGTTCACTCTGGAAAAGTATCTGAGAGCTGTATGTCCTGATTTTCAAGCAGAGAGGCAGAGAGACTAGGCCTAGCATTGGCTTTTTGAAACCCAAACCTCACTCTCCCATGACACACTTTCTCCAACAAGGTCACACCTCCTAATCCTTCTAATCCGATTAAAGAGTTCTACTCCCTGATGAGTAACCTTTCAAATATATGAACATACGGGGTCATTGTTATCCAAACTACAGCAAATATGTCTTTTCTAGAATGATAATATTTGAGAATTTTAACAATGGTAGTAACATGACTTGTTCTATATCTGGAATATCAAGTCCACATCACTATTGTCTGTTCATATTTTCCTGTCTTCCTCCATAAACATGCATTGATAATCTTTGTAAGAAATGTATAAGGGTATGAGAACATAGAGATAAAACATATCTCTCACCTTAAGAATATCATGATTGGCCAGATGTGTGTGCTCCACAAACAGAGGCTATTGGATGTCTGTGACTTTGAGGTCAGCCTGGTCTACATAGTGAAGTACAAGGCCATCCCAAGGCTACATAGTAAGACCCTGTCTTAAAAGAAAAATCTTGAAAGGCTATCACAAGCTACAAATTTTGAAGGACTATCCCAACCTATTTATTAAGTAAATAAAATATTAAATACAAAACGTGTGTGTGTGTGTGTGTGTGTGTGTGAAAGGTTGTAATAATAATATTATGATATATTACATACAATAAAATTAGGGTATGATACCCTTTCAAGATTCTTCTTTTGAGACATCGTCTTAATATGTAGCCATGGTTGGCCCGCACCTCATTGTGTAGACCAGGTTACATTAGATACAATAATAAATAACTACTACATATAAAGTCAGAGAAGAGAGTGAGTCCCATAAGAGCAATAAGCACAATCTCAAGAAAGGGGGGTATCAACCCTTCCTCCCTGGAAGAAGGAGAACATTCATGCTTGTTTGAAGGAGAAAGTATCTGATAACTAAGAGAAGTTGGAAAGGAGAAGTCCTGAAGAAGACAAGTTTCATGTAAGGATGGATGAGTGCTATCTGTCTTTCTTGTCCATTGGTACCTCCATCTCTTACAAACACCCTGGATGCACCAGGTACATGCCTGATGCAAAAGCATCACACAGAAGTGAGTCAGATGCAAAAGTGTCAAAAGTACCTGGTCTTTATGGAGACAAGCAACTGAGCCTGATTGGAGCAAAGTAGATGTAGTAGACAAAAAGGATGATGATGGGACAACAGTGGGACAAGGGGGCTACACAAACAGGAGGTGATTAAATCATGGTCCCACAGCGAAGTACAGAGGGCCAGGATCTAGGTGTGCCTAGGAAGGTCTTCCCAGTAGTCAATTAGGTGATGGAACAGAACTTAAGAATTTCGAAATAATGGCCTCATGTGGAAATAAAACTATCCAGATGAGGAGGATATCCAGATTCACTTAAATTTTGCTATGTGTTATGAATCATAATGCAAATACCTGTGTTTTACAATGATCTTGGGTGACTCCAGTGAAAAGGTTGTTCAACCTCCAAAGGGGTCACGAAGCACAGGTTGACAACTGCTGAGCTAGAGCAAGTGAATAGATGAGGTACTCACAGACAGAGGTTACAGGAGTGCTACAGAACTGGATTCATATAGGGGTAAAGGTGAGTTCAGGTTACCACATCACCCTGAGGTGTATGCCTGAGATCTCCGAAGGGCAGAAGACAGTAGGAATTGAATGGATGATTTTGAAGTTCCTAAGGGTCTATTCTAGAACCAGAACTTAAATTAAAGCCAGTTATGATCTGAAGTCACATGAAATAGTGCCCAAATGAGACGACTGAACATTTAAAGGAATAAACAATGTAGTTTTAAGTAATGTTCTAAGATAACAAGAGTCACAGAAGTAGAATTGCAACCAGCAAGTGTCGTAGAAAACTGTATCCTTTTCTTCTTCTGGATGGATGGATAGATGGATGGATGGATGGATGGATGGATGGATGGATGGATGGTTGGATGGATGGATTAGCTTTTAGTTATCTGGAAATATCAGGTTTATAAAAGGAAATTTGTTACTGTGGAAACAGGCTTTAATAGTAATAGCCAATTTGACCGCAAAAGGGTAATTAATTTAGTTTTCCCCTTAATTGCACATTTTCTTGCTTTTCAGTAATTATATAGCCATTGGTCAGAAGTGTCCAGTCAACTAGTGCTGTGGTGAGCCAAAGCATAAACATAGGTCTCCAGCTAACTACCAAGGTGGTGATCACTGGGTACCCCAGACCCAGACATTCTGGGACTTTACTATTTTGTACCATATCAGAATGTAAAACTCTCCAAATTCAAATAATCACTCCTTTTCACCCATAAACCAAATCCCGTTAGTCAGGAACAAGAGACTCTCATGTTCTCTATTGGTCTTTATTTGAGGGTACAGTTTGAGTAGTTAGCTGTATTAAAAGAGCTAATATATAGGATTTAAAGAAATATCCAAATGTTAAAATTTTAATGGAAGTTCTTAAGGTATAGGTCTCCTTTAGTTTATTATTCCACATGGTTAAATTCAAACTACATTCATGTTAACATAACTTCACTAACCTTATCCAGAAAAGCTTGTATAGCTGCATCCTGCTTCTCCATACGAGCAACATATCTATGTCTCCCGATGGAAGCAATTATCTGTGTCTCTTTTTCCAAAAGTTCACACAGAGCAGCCTTTCTTTCAGCTTCACTTGAATATTGGTCAACTTGTGTAACTTCTTCTTGCCGCCAAACTAGAGAAATAACATGAAAGGTTGTTGAGTTGTCAAAGTATGCAGCTTTTTTTTCCAACAAGAGATTTATTTTTATTTTTTGATTATGGCTATGTGGGGATGAGCACGTGAGTATAGATGCCCTCGGAGGCCAGATGGTCCAATATCTCTCGAGCTGGAGCTACCGGTGATTATAAGCCACCTTATGTGATTCCTAGAAATCAAATGAAGATCCTTGCTCTCCAACACTCAAACTAAAATAATTTATAAAAGTTGTAACTCCAGAGCATTACATATTCCTAACAGTTTTGCATCTTCCACAACCAATGTTCTTCTATTTATTTTTGCAACTTCTACAAATCTGAAGACGTCCTTTGACTTCCTCTACTCTGTCTGCCCTTTCTCTATTAGCTCTTATTCCATCTCAGTATATGCCTCTCTAAGAACTCAAAAAAGTAGCTTTATACAGAACAGTTTATATTACTTACCACATGTATTGTATCACATTCTATTTCTCACAAAACCTCAAACCACGTCACCGAATTTTATAGAGTAACTGCATTTACTCTTTAGTCAAACCAGTGCCTTATGCTATGGTACACTTTTAAGGTATTTTAAAGCACTGGTCCCTATAAATAATGATGTTGCATGACTATATCTCAAGATTGTATCATAAAATCCCCCCCAAAAAACCAATTTGTAAACTCATTCTATCTAAATACTACATCATACTGCAAACTTAAATCAAGATTTCTAGATGCAGATATGTTTTTCATAAGAGTACTAGTCAAATCCTTATGTAAACTAAATAAGGGGAAGAAGATTCTTTTTCATTTCACATTTCAAAAATGTCAAGCTTACACTGACAGAAGCATGGGATAGGAAAATACCTTAGAAATTAAATTGCTCAGTCCTACATTTGATCACGTACCCTCCTCTCAGTGACTTGGACAGCAATAATTTGCCTGCCACAGAACCAATTTTGTGAGCTACATGCCATCCCTTTGGGTGACTGAAGGTTGTGTCATGTCTCTCTTACATTTTCCCTTCTTGAGACACAAACACTTTCATTTTTAAATTGTACATTATGTGCCATAATTTCTTCTCACATCTTGGTCAAACTTTCCCTGTTTCTTACCACACCACTCAAAATACACTGTCAAATTTCTGTCAAGACAGAAGCATCTGTGCAGCCTTCCACACATTCTCCTGACTGAAGTGACAAGACATTCAAATGGGCAAGAAGGGTAGAGATGTAAAGCAAGAATAGAAATAAGAATTTGATATGTCGATGGCATGCAGAATTCCCAGAAGACATAGGAAGATTTATTTGGGTCAATAAATTGAAAGTAAACTGTCCCCAGAATCTGCCAGCACTGTTGCAAGGACTACAGCAGTGTCATCTCACAAAGTGGGTCTTGTAGAGGGAGGTGGTAAAACTTAATTTACATGAATGAAAGCAAGAGAAAAGGGTGGACTTGGAAGCGTTTGATACTGACCATATCTTAAAAACCAATGTCAGATGTTTTAAATTACAGTTGAAAACAATGATAACTGTGTTGGTTTTTATAGGAACAAGAAAAGAAGAAAGAAAAACAGAAAATAATGAGTAATAAGTTATGTTTAAATATGATATAATTATATGTACATATTTCTGTTGGAGATTAAAGAAAATAGCCTTGTAGATGTCTCCTAATTATTTTTATTTATGTGCACATATGTCTGTCTGTCTTGTGTGTATGCCACATGTACCCAGAAAGTCCAGAAGAGGATGACAAATGCCTGAGATCTGGACTTGCAGGTGGTTGTGGACCAGCCAACATAGGTGCCCAGAACCAAATTCAAGTCCTGTAGGAAACGAGCAGGCACCCTTCACCACTAAGCCACCTTTCCAATATCCAAAATAGAGGAATCTTGTATCGTTACAACAGCATGATACTTTCAGCAGGCACACTTGAAACAAAATGACAACAAAATTGAAACATGGAAAGTTGGCCAGGATAAACAACATGAAATCAGAATATTTAACATTCATATAAGAAACAAGAGGGAAAACCTCAGGATCCAGTGCCTGACATAAAAGATCATTTTATGCACTGAATGTTGTGAATATTTATATCACAAGTCATGTGATCATGTTCCATCCATCCCCGTGAAGGGAAACTACCAGTTACAAACACAGCTATAGTAAATATATGTTACAGTATAGAAAGTAAGACAAAATACAATTGGTTTATTTATAAGCACTTCACACATAGAATCTTGTTGAATCTCCTGACAAGCCAATGAAGCATATGCTATCATCTCTTGTCTTGGTAAAAGGGAAACTGAGGTAAAGAGTGCTATGTAACGTGCCCAAGCACACATAGCTGAAGAGTGGGCCAGGACCCAAACTCAGGCAGCCTAGGTGTGTGGGATACAGTCTTCCCTCAAAACCCACGATATCTTTTCCTTTGAACATGCAGCTTACCAGTTGACTTACAACAAAGAGCTCACTTCAGTGGTCAGCCAAGTCTTTCCCTCTGTATGGAAACAGCGTGTGATACAGTATGGGGATGATACTCTTAAGGAAGCTCCCAAAATACAGTCTGCTCAGACAATCAAACCTATTCTTTCTCTGAAATTTAAAAAGCCGTTTCTTTTATATGGTTATTGTGGCTACCAATATCCTGTCACTTCTTTGTTGATGAAAAATACTCACCAATGTGTCTGTAGTTATTAGGTAAACATAACTCTGTAAGACTCTATGGTGCATAAAGTGAAATGTCCTTACTTTGTTCTTCAAGGAATTAATACATGTCCTAGTCTTTAATTGGATGGATGATTAAAAAAAAAAAATCCAGTAGAACAGGGTTTCTGCTTCTCTTGCCTTTATTATCATCTAATGATCAGCATTTTACACCATTGGATTTTAGAGTTTGTTTGAATAGATATCTCTTGACAGAAGAGTCTATGTCTTGTCCTATAGACATAATCCAAGCATAAGTACTCCCCTACTGTTGCGTTATAGGCATGGTTACTCTCTTACAAGGTTGAAGGAATATTTCAAAGTGTATTTCATTTATATGAACTTACATAGTTAGAAAGCATTTGCTTTTTTTTTTAAAGCTTCAGATTGACTTTAATACTCAGTAGGAATTATAAAATAAACACCTTAAAACTTGAGTGTGGTTTTGGCCTTCCAAAAGGAAGTTCTGATACTGTGTTTTACAGTTTTATCAGGATATTTCCTTGTCCTCTCATATTTCGAGTTGAAACCACCCAAATCGGGTCAAGGTTTGCTAGTCCAGCTCGTTGTAGGGATCCACTCTGTTGTTTATCAGGGATACATTATTCAAACACTGTTCAGCTTAAATCTATCCAGCAAGAGGATTTTGGAATGAAAAGAAAATGTCTTCAGCAAAAGGATTGTAAATTTGAGAGCTAAATTATATTGTGAAAGCCCAGGAAATCTACGATGGATGAGTTTGTTATTTAAAAGTAGCTTTACTAGCCAGAATAACTTTAAGAAATATGACAAACCCCATATACCAAAAGTCAGTTGATGAACAAAGGGAAATTGTTTTCTTGTAGAAATAATAACTGAGAATATTTATCACACAGAATTACAAAATTTCTCCCAGAAAGCAAATAAAAGCTGACTGGTATTAGGAAGCCTATTTTATTTCCTAGCTTCACATTAAAATATCCAGAGCCTAATTAAGTCTAGATCATGCAGTTATTAGTCAAACTAGTCTGGAAAAGTGAAATATATATTATTTTTACATGTTAATACTTAAGATGTGTTAAAATCTGGAAATATGTATGTATATTCAGACACATTTCCACATAGTATCATATAAATTTTCATGTTTTTGTTGACTTATTGCTATGACATTTGAAATGAAAGTTGTCTATTGAGCTAATTAGAAATGAAAACAATGAGTCTGAACAGAGACTGAAGGAAAGGCCATCCAGAGACCACCCCACCTAGGGATCCATCCCATCTGCAGACACCAAACCCAGACACTGCTGACAGGAGCGTAGTATAGTTGTCCTCCGAAGAGGTTCTACCAGCGCCTGACCAATATAGATTTGGATGCTCACAGCCAACCATCAGACTGAGCACAGGGACCCAAATGGAAGAGCTAGGGGAAGGACTGAAGGAGCTGAAGGGAATTGCAATCCCATAGGGAGAACAATATCAACTGACTAGACCACCTAGAGTCCCAGGGACTAAACCACCAACCAAAGAGTATACATGGAGGGATCCATGGCTCCAGATACATATGTAGCAGGGGATGGCCTTATTTGACATCAATGGGAGAGGAGGTCCTGTGGAGGCTTGATGCCCCAGTGTAAGCAGATGCTACAGTGGTGAGGCAGGAGTGGGTGAGTGGGTGGAGGAGCATCCTCATAGAGGCAAAGAGGAGGGAGTGGAATGGGCAGTTGTGGAGGGGTAACAGGGAAGGGCCATATCATTTGAAATGTAAATAAATAAATTGATTAATTAAACTAAAAAAAGGTCTATATTACATGGTAAAATACATCCATACAATGTGTCAACCATCGAAGAGTAGTAGAAAGTCACAGGGCAGAGCCTTCTGAACTATATACCAATGTGGGAAGTGTGGAAATCAAAAGGGAATCTTCCCCTTTCATATGACATGTGCTCCCTGGAGATGATAATGAAAACAATCTGGAACACTGAAATGCTGTGCTAGTTTTCTGGGGCTGACACAACAAAGCACACACAGAGCTTCATGTGTTAAACAACAAAATTCCATTTCCCCAACAGTTCTGGAGACCATGGGTCTAAGGTTAAAATTCTGGCATCCTTCCTTGCTCCTGAAGCCTCTCTTCTGGTGGCCATATTTTCCTAATGCTCTGCCCTATATTCTACCAATGTATTAATCAAATATTTTATAGGTACACCAATCTTTATTGTGTTAAGGCATGCTTATATATCCATTTTTCTTTATTGATCCTTTTTTTTTAAAAAGCAGCAAATAAACCCACACTTGAGGTACAAAGAATTCAGA